TTTTGTACTTAATTAACTTAGTTTGATTTGTGAACATTAATCCTCATTTGACATTTTGAGCCTTATGTTTATAAACAGCTAAATGTTGCCACCTAGTGGCAATTGCAGCTTACTGCTAAAGAAAGGAGACGTACAACCTACTGATGCCATGCAATTTTTTTTTTTTTTTTAATAAATCTAATAAGTGCGAAGCAATACATAGTGAAGATTTCACTGGAGAAAAGAAATGTATCAAAAACCTGACTTTAGAAGCCCAACCCTCACATTAAATCATACCCAAATGCCATCCGTTTTTCCACCAGCTGGTAAATACAACTACAGCATTTCACTTACAACACTAGGAAAGGCACATTAAATGCTGGTTTATAGTGCTCTCACAAATAAGCACAGGCTGAAAAACCCATTTTCTCTTCTAAATACAGAGCTTGATGAAAGCCGTCTTCCCATCAACACTTCACAGACAACCTGTCAGTCCCCTCATGTGTCTAACACTTCATGTTTGTCTTTCACAGTTGACTTAACAAGGTTCCCTCTGGGGCTTTCTCAAACACATGTTCAAAACTTCCTCGGCTGCTGGATGAGAAAGGTCCGGGGTGAGTGGGGCTTCTCCATCGCAGGTCGCACCTTGCTGTGCCTCACACTCACTGGCGTCTCTGGAAAGTCGTGGCTCAACTGCAAACACATCAGGCAGGATTTTATTACCCACAAGGCTCTGGGGCCTGAGAGGCACCGTAACTAATCCAGTTTGCTCAGTAGGAGTGAACCCGACATGCAAAGCAAGAGCTGACTTTTGGAGTGTTTTTGTTTACCTTGTCAAGAGTTCCTGCCAGAAGAATACCAACTTGTTGCATCCTGTTGGAGGTGGCGAGGGACCTGCTGCAAGATCACATGTTTCAAATACGACTGTTTCACTTCATCAAAATGCTGCTGGGTATTCTTAACATCTTAAAGGTTTGATGCAAAATGAATTTCTGTGATCTTGGACTTTACACTGCTGCAGACTGAAGGCCTTACCTCAATTTATCAGACCTCTTGGTTTCCTTCTCTGGAGTCCCATGGGTGGCACTCTCTTCCAAGCCTTTCTTGGCCACCCGTTTACCTCCAGCCTTCACTATTAACCCACAGAAGACAACAACAGTTGAAAAAGTATGTTATCTGAAAAAAAAAAAAAAAGAGTGGCCTACATCTTACAGGGTAGTTTAAAAACTGGGGGGGTCAGGGGTACATTTAAAAAAATGAGGTCACAAGAGGATTAAAGCAGACAGAAAGAAAAACATTCCCACTACACAAAACTACATTTTTCTTTTTTTGGATGCCTCTGATTTTTGCTTCCTCCCCTTGTAACCCCTTCAGACCTTAGCTTCAGGCTAAAAAATACATTTAAAAATCATTAAGAAAACAAAAATCACTCTTAACTACATAGATGTGTCACTCAAATGACAAGGGCTGGGAGCCACAAGCCGAAGGGGCGATTTAGACATTAAAGTAAATAATAAATAAATATGCAATGCCAATTTTAAGTTTAGAAAGAGGCATTCGAGTTAAATATGCATGCAAAAAATAAGATATAAAGTATAAAGATGTCTCTGATTGCTCAACAGTCTGAGTGACGCCGCAGCTTTAATGAGAAACCACAAAGAATACAACCAGCACGACGAAATAAGAGCCAACTAGAATTTAATACTCGGCGATGAACACATTTGCAGGATTTGTGCATGCATCAAACTGTGCCTATATGGGAGGCTCTAGTCCGTCGGAACACTGTTACTTTCAACCAGGGGCCTGCTGGAGAAAACAAAAGCGTGAGGCTGAAAAACACACGGCTGCAAAGAGCTCAGCCAGATTGATGCGATCATTATCACACAAATCAGATCGTTTCCCGCGATGCGATTGCAAGTAATGTGTATTATAAGGGGATGCGTGGGGTGGGGTGGGGAGAGAAGAAAAAAAAAGCAGATAAAATGCTTGGTGAAAAAAAGGGGGTGGATTTAACGGAGTGCACGGATCTCTATGTAGGTCGAGCAGAGACAAACAATAACGCTTTTGGCTTCGTCTAAGGGAAACAAATAAACAGTGCGAGTCGAGCAACCAGTTTACCTGCTGGAGGGTGGCCAGCTTTCAGCAGAGGAGACTCCTTCGCTCCAGATTTGGCGAGTTGCTGCACCATTTTTGAAAAAAGTTTTCCGGAGAAATAGCAAAAGGAAAGCACCAAACTCTTCACAACGCCCACTCTGTTGTTTTTATGCTCAAACCCAGCTGACGTCATGTGCGGCTACAGGAAGCCTGCGGTAGCCAGAGCCACGCCCACCGATGAGTGGATGAGCCATTGACTGTATATGAAGTAATAAAGGGGAAATGAAACAGCGACACGGTGTCTCACAGGAAAACTTTTGTATTTTTTGTTTTGTCTCAATTGAAGTTGCTCTTAGTGTTTTTGAAGTGCTGTCTTATTTTGGAGCCGTAGAGATCATCATAAAGTCCCACTCCATCAAAAATATGTTTTTCTTCTTGTTCCTACAGTTGGATGTTTGCGCTTCACTCTGCAGGATGATTTATGTGCAGAGTTTGACACTAGAAGGATGCTTTTTTGACATTCATCTGCTGAAAGTGGAAAGTTTCTCTGTGCACATTGAAAAATATAATAAAAAATTATGATTTTAAGGTCCTGCGAGCATGATTTGCAACATCACAAACAGTTTTGAATCCTGGTCCAGTATGCAACTTACATCACACTTACTAAGTGTGATGTAGAGACGTAAAGCCACCAGTGCACAAACACTGAGAGTGGAGTAGAGAGACATCTGAGAGATCAACATGAAAGAGGGGGAGAGAGAAACAGGGGACGACACGCAGCAAAGGGCCACAGGTTGGACCCACAGCCCAGCTGCTGCAGCAAGGACTCAGCCTTGGTTATATGGAGCCAGCTGGCGCTCCTGGAATTTTTTATGAGGTAGAAGGAGTAGATTTAATGATTTGATTGTGGTGATTATACCTTTTTGCAGCAGAAACATATCAGACACATTATTGTTCCAAGAAAACTATTTGTATATTAATCATAGACTGTATAACTGCAGCCCCCCTGTGTTCTGTGTTAGCTTCATTTGCCAGCCACAGAGGTTGCCACTGGGTCTATACATGTCTGGAGGGGATCTTTAAGTTTTAATAATACTATACTATACTATACTATACACTGAGTGTTGAAACTACCACAGACAGTGGAACTTAAATAAATTCACATTTGAATACAAGCTTTGTTCATAGAGGTATATTAAAATACAGACAAAAAAACAACAACCACAGTCTCCGTGGTGCATATTAACAGCTCCTTTGATTAGGGTCTGAACTGCCCTTGTGGTGCTGAAAGCTGCACAGATATGTGAAATACACATTCATGGCCTCTTACTGGAAGTGAACAATGATATCAGTAATGGCCTGCACCGGGGTTTTAGTAGCTTTTATGGTTTAAATGTCATGTTCACAGGTGGATCCAGATTAATCTTGCTGAATAATAGAGCCTGTCACACAATATGTTTTTTAAAGAAGTGATGTCAAACAAGTGAATCAGGAGGATGTCAATCAAACGAAAATGAAAACACCTGTGTGTGTGTGTGTGTGTGTAACCATGCGTTTGAATCCGAAGAATTTGGATTACAGCTTGATTCAGCAGTTATAAATGACACAAAGCTTTTGTGTCTCCAAGTTATCCTATATGACCTGTTGCTTCACTGCAGATTATAGTAGGTTCAGTTAGATTGGTTTAACCCTCAGCTGAGCTACAGTCAGTGTTACTGTCCAGCACGACACAAGTGAAGTGTACTGCAGTGTTTTAATTTTCTGCAGCCACTACCAGAGGATATTATTTGTATTTGTGTCTTAGTAGCACATGTTTGAGGCCATACAGTTTGCTTTTGTGCAAACTGGACATGGTAAAACACATTTCTATCAAAATATCAAGGATTTAGTTTGAAGACATTCAACTGTTTCAGCTTGTTAATTATATTTAGCATATTTCTAAATGTATGCATTTAAACCTTGGACCATATAGTATGGTAGTATAGAAAAACTGTATGTGTGTATATGGATGGATAAGGGGTTAACTGGTGACCAGCAGCAGGTTCCTGCCATGGACGAGGAGTCTAATTCTCATCTGTTATTCATGTACTTACAGAGTGTTCCTCTTATAGGGAGATGTGTAAATGTTAAAACGTGCTAATAAGTATGTTACTCCTCAGGCTCTTCACAGCTTTACATATCTGTGAATCTGGGGATATGCAGCCAATCACATACCATCTGGGATTATGTGCAGTAATGACTCAGGAGCTGCACATCTGGTCCTCTTGGCCATTTTGCCATTGTTTGAACATTAAGCTCTGTTTTAGTATTAACTCTATTTCCCCCCCTTGCCAGGAAGTTCCAGGGGGAGATCACTACTGTATTTTGTTTCCATCCCCTTTTATCCTGCTCTTGGGTGGATGGGAGTTAGGTTCAATATTGTAATGAGACACTTTTTTGGGGTCCAATTTATTTACTTTTATTTTTTTTATTTTATTTTTTTTATCCAGGGCTGGTTTGTAGTTTTGGCCTTTGGCCCATCTGAGGTTTAATTTAAGCTTTGCAATAACCTTTTGAATCCTGCACTGTTGATACATACACTGTGTTTATATTCAGTCAGTGTTTGGAAAGAAGAGTTTTTTTAAATGAGATTCTTTACTTGATCCAAAGAACAGAATGGATCTTCCCAGGGGCGAGCATAGGGTCAATTACTCATCACTGTTGGTTGGGATTCAGTCTTCTCCTTCCAGGCACCTGAGTTCTTTCTATGAAACACAGGTATGCTGGTTCAATGCTGCCCCCCCCCCCCCCCCCCCACCATCTCTTCTGGATCTCTCCCTGTTCACTCTCAGTTCTGTTTGTGTGCATAGAAAAGGTCAGTAAACCGTGAGAGAATATAATTATATGTTTGCACTATACCTGTGAAAAAAATGCAATCTCACGACACCTTTTAAAAAACAAAACTGACCTTTTTTATTATTTTAGCATGGTTGTTATGATGCCATCTTTGTCCACATAAGTCTTCATATATTTATATATCTATAACATGGCACAAGTTTCTTTTTTTAACCAGTGCTGATGAGTGTAAACCAGGTAACATGTTTTTTTTCTGTATTTACAATAAAATGAAAGAAATGTACAAGACTCCATGGCATTACACAACTTCAACATTAAGTACAGATACAATTTCATCCCTCTGTACAATCTAACATCATTAGTTTACTATCTTTTTTTTTCTTTTTACAGATATGAGTTCATGATTCATTTTGACTTCGGCACATACACATTCCCCATCTTGACTCTTACCGCAGACCCTCGCTCACATGACTCACACCTTTCACCATGCTATCACAGCTAACATTTTCATAAAAGAAAATAAAACTAACATCTAGACAGAGCAGGACGCATG